TCTTCTTCTTCTTCTTGTCGTCAGAATCATATTCCTTGCTCTTCTTATTTTTCTTGGATTCCTTGTCCCATTGAGGACATTCAGATATGTAGTGTCCTAGCTTCTTGTATTTGTGGCATGTTCTCTTCTTGTAGTCACGAGAGGAAGCCTCATCATTTCTTGAGCTGGATCTTGAAGACTTTCCGAAGCGATTCTTCTAGGAGACCTTTTGGAACTTTCTCACAAGCATTGCTAGCTCTTTGCCAATGTCTTCAGGATCACCAGAACTGCAGTCAGATTCTTCTTTAGATGAGGAAATAGCTTTTGCCTTCAAAGCACGGGTTCAGCCATAGATATCTCTCTTCTCAGATAGCTGGAACTCATGTGTGTTGAGCCTCTCAAGTATGTCAGACTGATCGAGATCTTTGAAGTCAGGGCGTTCTTGAATCATCAGGGCCAAAGTGTCAAATGAGCTGTCAAGTGATCTCAGTAGCTTCTTCACAATTTCATGCTTGATGATCTCAGTGGCGCCAAGTGCGCGAAGCTCATTTGTGATGTCTGTGAGGCGATCAAACGTGAGCTAGACATTCTCATTGTCGTTTCACTTGAAGCGGTTGAAGAGATTGCGAAGAACATCAATCCTTGAGTCTCTCTGAGTTGAGACGCCTTCATTAACCTTGGACAGCCAGTCCCAGACTAGCTTCGCAGTTTTCAGAGCACTCACACGACCATACTGTCCTTTGGTCAGATGACCACAGATGATGTTCTTGGCAGTTGAGTCCAGTTGTGTGAACGTCTTGACATCAGTAGCGGTGACACCTTCACCGACCTTGGGAACACCTGTCCTGACGACATACCAGAGGTCGATGTCAATGGCTTCAAGATGCATACGCATCTTATTCTTCCAGTCGGGGTAATTAGTGCCATCGAAGACTGGGCACGCAACGGACACCTTGATTATCCCTGCAGTCGACATAGCTAAAACTCCAGGTGGTTAAACCGAATCACACAGAACAAGGGAGCACCTTGCTCTGATACCAACTGAAAGTGCTAGTTATCGACTAGAGGGGAGGTGAATAGGCGATTTTTATGACAATCTTCAAAACACGAGGTCTTTGAAGAGAAACAATCAATTGAACCAATATGATATGCAAAGGAAGAAGAACTACTCTAGATAAGCCATAGTCAAGTAAGCATTATAGTGAAAGCACGAAGACTAATAGAAACTAGGTAGTATGGATCGGAATGGAAGACAGTATGACGCGAAACAGGTAATAGTCTTCGCACAGCAAAGTCAAACGGATCAGGCAAGCAAGCGATGACTTCACAAAGACATACTGAAATGTAAAGAAGGTAGGGGATAGAACCAGCAGCTCGGTGAAGACAAGGATTTGGTAGACCAGTTCCAGTTGTTGTGACAACTATATGTCTGGTTAGGGAGGCTGAGATTGAACTCAGAAGACTGTGTCTTCACCTTATTCCCCTTGAGCTAAGGACACTCAGTCCTCGCCCAATCACTCTAGCAAGTCTTCAAGGTAGACTTCCAAACCTTCACAGACTCCGTTCACCAGTGATCCGCAATGACTCTTGGATTCTCAGAACGTGACGCCTAACCGGCTGGAGGATGCACAGTCCTCAAGTGTAACAAGTCTTCAGGTCACGCGGACAGAAAGACTTCAGTGATGCCTAACACTCTTTGGCTCTCGGTGTTTTGGGTTTTGTCCTCGCAAGGATCTCTCTCTCTCAAAGGCTTCAGAGGTGGGTTGCTCTCAAACGACAAAAGCCGTGCACTTACTCTGAGCAGCCACCAATTTATGGTGTAGGGGGACAGGCTATTTGTAGCCAAGAGGCAACCCGACATGATATATCTGAAATGACCCTGGGTCACTAAGGAACCAACACGTGTCCAATGGTCGGATTTCAAACACACGCGGCAGCTTGGCTTGGGCCACAAACAAAGTTGACTCATCCAACTCTGGATAAGTTTTGCTCTCATTATCTTCGCTCGAAGACATAGGATTTTGGTTGATCATCACATCAGTCATCTGACTTTGTTCGCTTGGACCCCACTTGACAGTTCGGTGGTTCCTATGACTCAATAAAGAAGAAAAGAAATATACGAAAGAAACTATGTATTTGCACTCCATAGTCTTCAAGTGAATGTCTTCACATGTCATTATCTTCAACGTGAATGTCTTCACGAACCACCATTGTCTTCAATGTCTTCATACATTTTTAGGGATCATCTCTGGTAGGAAAACTGAATCAATGATGGACTTCTACCTGTGTTATCCTACAATTCTCACAAACACATTAGTCCGTCAATCATGTTTGTCGTCAATACTCCAAAACCAACTAGGGATGGCACTAGATGCACTTACAGGAATGAAGCAGGTGCCAATCCCAACCATCCCACAGAGGAAGAGGAGGAGAAGAGCAAGGAAAATGGTGACACTGATGAGGATTAAAATGCTCACAAACTGCAAGAGGTACTAATACTTATTCAGATCGTTCACTCTTTCTCATTTAAGAGCATCATCCCATTTTACTTTTCTCCACCAAAATACACTCATCGTATATCCCGAGATCTTTTTTTATTCGTTGTTTGGTCTCTACTCTATGCGAAAGAGTCGTCGACTAGTTTGGTACGCAGTTCCAGGGTTGGTGTGCGTTTGTTGTATCGGTTTTCGGCCAGCTTTCCTTAAAAACTAACCAATTCTCTCCATCTTAATGAAAAGGCAGAGCTCCTACTAGTTACTCAAAAAATGAAGAAGAAAAACAACAACCATATTGTTATCACTCGAACAGTATAAGACTGAATTGACATTGAAGTTTGTTGGATTGCACCACATAACAAAAATCTAAGAGGCCCAAGTCAACGGGAAAACTCTTTCAGAATATAGTGAGACTTAATCCTCATAAAAATACCAACAAGATCCAATTATACTGATCAAACAAATAAGATTACTCGTTGTACCACAAGAATCGGATTAGCAAGCGTGTGACATCAAGTAGTTGCGCTCTAATAATTTTGTGAAAAAAACAACCCATTTTATCGGTTGTCCCGGGATGGACACAACTAATCCATTTGTTTTGTGTAGTTGTACACATGTTTTAGGGATCGTCTATCCCTAAAATGCCTAAAATTTCTCTTGTATCGGTCACTTTTACTCCGAGCCATCTGATCATGGATGAACGTTAAGACCTCCTTCTTCCTTCCGTCAATGTTCGTCTTCTTCCCCGATCCTGCAGCCCTCTCGGACCCAACCCTAACCACCCGCCTCCGCCTCCCGTGGCCTGCAGCTATCGCTGCCTCACCACCATGCCTTTCCCTCGATCTCCCCCCACCGACGTTGCTGGCAGCCGCCCCAGCCATCCCTCTAAGCTCCGCCGCATCAGTGAAGAATTCCGACGATCCCCTGCCTCCCTCCCCTCTAAGAAGATAGTGGGGCAATGGCTTACCCCTAGAAAAGATAGCGGGTCTGCCTCTTCTTCGGCGAGCTCGGAATGAACCAGGAAAAGTGACTGATGCGAAGGAAATTCTCAAGCACCTGAAATATAGCAAAACAACATGTTTTGCGATCATTCGTTTAAAATGCAAATGAAATCGTTACCCGCCGGCACCCCAGAATGGCAACCTCCAAAAAAACAAAACAGAAATACTGGTTTTAAATATTCTAAAACATAGAAAACCCAGAACTATTCTGCCAATCTGGTCAAACGGAAACGTGCTCTTATTCTTGGGCTCTATCTGCGCGCCAGTTGGTACTAGCATGCTGGGAAAATCGCCGTGGTTCAGGCCAAGTGGCCACAGTGGAAAAGAGCAAAGGCATAGGTCCTGTTTGGTTCAACTTTTATCAACAGATTCCGCTGCCGCGCAGCAGAATCTGAACCAAAGGGCGAACCCAGCAGAGTCCGATTTCAGAAATCCGCTGTCAAAATCTGAACCAAAAGCGGAAGCAGCCCAGGACATGCTTTTCAAAATCTGATTCCGCTACGGGCCAAAATCTGAAAAAGTTGTATCAGCTGGTTTGCCAAATGACCTACATATTTTTCACATCAGATTTTTCACATCTGTTTTTCCACAACAGATTTTTCACATCTGCTTCTAGAAATCCACAGCCGAACCAAACAGGGCCATAGCCTAGCCTAGTCAAGTGAGGCCAAAAGCCGAGAGGAGGATCCGGGAGCAAATACCACATATTCGGGGGAGCAAAACTGTTAGACACCTGCAACCATCCATGATCCATCTACCACTCTGCTCCCCTCCTCTCCTTCTTATCTGCTACAGCAATTATATATTTCCCCCGAGGCAATTTCGGCGTGCTTTACTTACCAGCGGCCTGTTTTTCCCTCCCCCTGACACAAAAAGGCCAAATCTTTTTTTGTTAATTAGGAAAAAGAAAGAGCGCGTGTGAACTGGCGAGGGTGGGAAAAGGGGGGATATATTGGAGGCTGTAGGCAGGAAATTATGGGAGCTGGGTAGGAGTAGCTGGAAAATTCTGTGAATTCGTCCTTCTCTCCCTCTTGTGATCTTCTCCGTTTGTAGCGCTGGAGTGAGCTCGTGATGTCTCCATTTTAGGACGGAGGAGTGTGCAAGTGTGCTTCTTCCTCTTATTATTATCATTTCTTTTCTGTTTGCACCCCAGATATTTCCTTTTGCTGCAACTGTTGAGCTCCAAATCTGCCGTGGTTCATTTCGTCTTTGAATCCGGAGGGAGAAGGGGATCTGCCATTTCTGTGCTCGGTTCACCAAATTCTTGCTCGAGCTTGCTCTTTCTCTTGAGATTTTACCGTTCCCTTTTCAGTTTCTTGGAGGTAATTTCTTCTGCTGTAAAACTCTGGTTTGCCGCAAGAAGGATCTCGTGTTTAACCGGCGATGGGTTTATGGGTTTTCGCAGCTTCCTAAATCCTAATCCCTAGTCCTAACCTCGCTTGAGCGCTCGTGAGCTTAGTTAGCGGTGTGAAAATCGCAGCGTGGAGTGTTTTCGTGCAAGAATCGGTTGCTGCTGCTGCTAGCCATGGAGGTGAGGTCCGAGCAAGGGCTAATGGCGGGAAGGGATCTGTTCGGCTTGCCCAAGAGCCAGCCGGCGCCGGCGTCGGCCGCGCCAGCAGCGCCGCCGTCCTCCGCAGCCATGCAGAGCATGCGCATGGCGTACACCGCGGACGGCACGCCCGTGTTTGCCCCGGTGAGCTCTGCGGTCGCGCCGCCTGGTTACCAACCGGCAGGGTCTGCAGCACCAGCACATGGCTCTAGCATGTCCGCTGCTCGGGCCCCCGGAGGAAATGGCGTCGCGGCGCCGCCGGGCATGGGTGAACCGTCGGCGAAGAAGAAGCGCGGGCGGCCAAGGAAGTACGGGCCCGACGCGGCCATGTCTCTGGCGCTGGTGACCGTGCCGACGGCCGCAGGCTCGCCAGCTGTGACACAGGGTGCTTCTGGGCGGCCCTTCTCACCCACGCTGCCGGGAAACTTCGTGCCGTCGGCGTCGCCGGATGGAGGGAAGAAACGCGGCCGGCCCAAGGGATCTACCAACAAGCCCCGCGTGGATGGTGCTGGTAACATCTCGATTCCCTACTAATAATTCTGTGCTGAACACTATTTGCATTTTCAAGATTTTAGGTCCAAGAATAGTGATAACTGAAGCTCATCATTTGTGTGTGTATGGATTTATGGTAGAATATCAGTACAGGGTTCTCTTTGAACTGGGTTAATTGTGCTATTTGTCTCTGGCCAGAGGCTAAATGAGATATATTGCACACTCTACACTTGTCAGAATTAAAGGGTGAACTGCTAGGAAAATTTAGCAATCTAGCACTCCCTTGTTGTTTTCCTTTGATTGATTCAAAATTGAAAATGTTGGTAAGGCAGGTTTACCTAAAGCATTTACAGCGATTCATGTGTTCATGCATTTCTGAGATATTTAATTCGATGCTGTTTTCTCCTTGAATTATGGACCATACAATTTTTTTTGTTTGAAGTGTCTTGTTTGCATATTTTTATTATATTAATGTGACACTGATGTTTGTTGACTTTGCCTCTGTTGAAGTTCTCCTTTGCATAGTTAGTCCTAAGTTTAAGCTATTTTGCAGGGCCGGCAGGAGTTGGATTCACACCTCATGTTCTTACAGTTCAAGCTGGAGAGGTATAACAATATTTGAACATTTGAACTTCCATGCTATACTCAATGATGTTTGAAGCATGAACTATTTTTAATCGGTTAAGCTTATCCCATTGCATTAAGATAATATGCTGCTGATGGTTATGTGCAATTTTTCTAGTTTACCCTCCCAATTCTGACCCTATATATCTCAATCAACCTTCATATTCGATATCCTAGAGCACAAATTCCAGTCTGCATTAAGCCAACGTTATTTTGGCCAGGGTTTCATGTTGTGCTTTAGAAGATTTATAATTTGATCATAATTTTTATTTATTTTACTTATTGATGCTTTGTGGGTTTGAGCCTCCATTTCGTTTTTTTTATGCTTTGCTATATATATTTTACCTTGCTGCATAACTTGGGTGCTGCATCGCCTTCTTCTAGAAAGTGCTAAGCTGGCGAGTTCTGAAGGTATCAGCACAGCATTCCTCTAACTAACGAAGAATATATTGAACTCTATTTTTCAGGATGTATCGTCAAAGATTATGTCATTTTCTCAGAATGGGACTCGTGCAGTTTGTGTTCTCTCAGCAAATGGTTCCATATCAAATGTAACACTTCGTCAAACTGGTACATCAGGTGGAACTGTAACATATGAGGTTTGTACATTTAACCAGTTTGAAGTAATTCAATCTGAATTAGATACCAGGTTGTGGGCTGTTTGCAATAAAGCACGTAAGATGTCATCATGAGGCAACGAGCAGTGCAAATTCCTGCATAGTTGTGGGGTCAGGGTTCCTTTGATTCAAAGGATTTGCATAGGAATTTTGGAGGATTAGAATCCTTAGGAAATTTTCCTATATTGGTTGTTTGATTCATAGGATTGAATCCTATAGGATTTTTTCCTAAGGAATTTTTTGTACTACTTCCCATAGGATTTCTAGCATCCAGTCAAACCTCTTTGAAAGAATCCTTCGTTTTTCCTATGATGCAATCAAACAACCTAAAATCCTATAGGATTGAGATGAGCATGACATTTCAATCCTATTTTTTTCCTATTCCCATGTTTTTACAATCCTGCGAATCAAAGAGGCCCAGTGTCCATGTACAATGTACAACATGTCACTCACCAATGCACAGGCCTCCTTTGGTTTGGAGGAATTTCATAGGAATTCTAGAGGATAGGATTCTTATAGGATTTTTTTCCTTTAGAGCCCTTTGGTTCATAGGAATAGATTCCTATTCCTACATAGGATTGGTTCCTATCCTCCACATTTCATAGGAAAATAAAAATGAGCCTAGACTCAATGGAAAAATTCCTTTGGTGTCAACCAAACGACATCTCGTTTCCTATTCCTACTCATAGGATTTGAGATACATGAGATCTCATTTCCTACAAAATTCCTATTCCTACGATAATCCTATCCTATGGACCAAAAGAGGCCTGATTATTTTTTGTTTCCTCCACAGGGCCGATTTGAGATACTGTCACTCTCTGGGTCGATCTTTGTAACGGACAACGGAGGCCAGCGTACCCGAACAGGGGGGCTCAGCGTTTCGCTGGCTGGTCCTGACGGTCGTCTCTTGGGTGGAGGGGTCGCAGGACTTCTCATAGCAGCTTCTCCAATCCAGGTATTGTTTTCTACCCCGCAATTTTTCATGTGCTAACAAAAGAAAAGTGTCAATGACATGAGATGTTCTAACTCTGTGCATGTTTTCTCCTTGCTGGATTTCAGCAAATGAGAGTCATATCATTTACCAGGATTACTCTTGTTGTATGCAGATAGTAGTGGGAAGCTTCAATGCTTGTGGGAAAAAAGAGCCAAAGCCGCAGGCTCCTTCTGAGCCCGTACCACTGAAGGTCGTTCCGAGCACTGGGATGGCGGCCAACAGCCCCCCTTCAAGAGGCACATTGAGCGAATCGTCCGGTGGTACCGCAAGCCCGAGACATCAAGGCTACGCCTCCAACAACAATAACCAGCCGCCGATCTTGTCCAGCATGCCCTGGAAATGAACTCAGCATCCTTGACCGAATTCGGACATCGATAGACTGTCGGTGAACTGCCTCCCTGGCAGGAAGTAGAAATGTCATTCTGTCTAACTAGCTCCCATTTAGTCGTATAAATCAGAAGTTTAATTAGGGAGCAATGTAGCTGGTATGAGTGGTAACTGCAGCTGCTGTGTAGGTCGTCTCAGCTTGAATTTCTGTGCCAGTTAGTTGTTTATTGTTGTCTTGAGATGATGTATTTAGGTATGATCTTGTGACCCTATGAGGCGCCACGAAATAATTATGTTTTTATGTTCAATCAATTCATGTAAATTTCATGTATGTCCTGCAAAAATTATCTTCTTACTTGATCTGTTCAATGCCCCAACAGCGATACAAGAATTTGACACGCAAGATAAAACTAGTGTCAAAACATAAGGTTGCAAGCATAATCAACACAGCAACTGGTGATGCTCTGGAGCAAACGTTCTTGACCGCAGTATGCTAACCATTGGCTTCGGTGGTCACTATATTGCAACTCCAGTTAGTTAAAGCTTCGAGCAACTCTAGCAGAATCGCTGAAATCTCGTATCCATATTCGCTGAAAGGGCGATCGCCAAAATTTATGGAGGCTAAAACAGGTGACTGCGACTCAGATTCGCTGTAACATGGGGATGCATATTACTGTTTGGGACCCACCTGTCATTGGGAGAGACAAATTCACCTCCAAAACTCCCAACGTCTCTCTCTGCTCAAGTTCACCCCGATTCCTCTCTCCCACTCCCCGGTCTCGATTGTGGTGGCCGCCCACTGCTCCATCCCCTACCCGTCGACTCCTTCCTCCCGCTCGGGCTGTACTGCTGACGCAGCGAGGCGCAACTCCACGAGGCCAACAATGGCGGGGACATCGAGCTCGCTAACTGCAGCAAAATGAAGGGGAGCGCGTAGGCAACGTCAGAGACAGGGCCACGAGGTTGAGCAGCAATGCGGGATGGGTAGCAGCAATGGAATTGCGCGTGCAGCGTCAAGGCGGGCTCAAGCCGGAGGTGGAACTTCCCTCCCGCCAGAAATCCTATGGATGAAGAACACCCTGCAAAATCTCCCCCTGCCTCCAAATACACATGCTGGAGGGGACAATATGGAGCGCCTTCCGAATTTTTTGTTGAATAGCGATCCATCTAGCAAGAATCTGCTCGAGCAGTTTTCTTTTTTACCTCTCTAGCCTCTGTATGACGGTTATTATGGAGGAAAATGGTATACAGCCATTCGGCTAGAGTTGGTCGGCCAACCAAGGTAATTTTGAAAGATTATACTATTCCAACAAGAATAATCTTGATTGAATTTGATTCTCAGTCCTTGGACGTTACACTCTTCTACATAACAAGTGTCCGGATTTCCTGGTAAATATGAGGTCTGCACTATATCATCGAGCGTTCAAAGCCATGATCTCATGCATGGGAGTGATCAGAAACATCAGCGCGAGCTACCGAAGGAGGGGTAAGCTCTCCACTCGTGCTGACCTGACGTCAACGCCGTTACAACATGATCTTCCTAGCTGTGAACCAATAGAATAGGAATGAGATATATGTCAAAGAACGAAACACGAGGTGAGTTAGAAAAGCAAGAGCTGAGCCAACCTAAGGCACACTATTGTTGTTTTGTCAAGAAGATCCTGTTGACAACATCTAAAGGGAGGGCGTAGGCAGGATCCATAGGCTTCACTCCAGGATACTCCATCAATGAGAGCCCTGTTTTTGCAAGAGGCTAACTAATTCAGCAAGGAGTTTATGACTTTGAATCATTCGAATAGCATACTGCAAGATCCCTGTGGTTAACTACTATACTAAGGGAGGAAGTAATATAAATACCTGCAACTCCAAAGTACGTGTGGTAGATATCGACCGCATTATCTGGTCTATCTGAAATTCCACCATTTTCCTTGTCCTGCCAATGTAAAAAGTTATGACAATATATATGGTAAACGGAGAAAATTGATCTTTTAGATGATGGGAGTTAGAAGTTGGACACATAATTATCAGAATTTCAGAGCAAGAATCATGAGCAGTTACCTGACAGTTCAATATGAACTTTGCAAGTTTTTCCTTGTCAATCCAGTGCACTCTATCAATAATTATCAAGCTTGATAACACCCACCATGAGTAGCACACCTATTGCGAGCAGTTCAATTAAATCTATGGTACAGTGAGAAATGCAAAAGGTGCACAATCTGAGAAAGCAGTCAATTGAGCCCTCCATCTCTACACTGGCGCTCACAAAGCCACCATCCAAGGAGATCTCTATCAATGTGATGCAAAGAGCCGGTGATTGCGAGAGCACCAACACAACAGAATACTGCACGGAATGGATACATGTTTTCAGGTTATCTGTCCGCTATAAAGTGACAACTTGGAGAGAAATAAAAAGATAAAGGAAATAATCTTGTGAAAATGCAAATTTCATGTCATCATAGGAGTGCCACAATAATAATCATAGCAAATTGATTGGATAAATAGTAAATATCTTGCATTTTCCTGAAGGAAATGCTTTTTTATGTTTGTACAACCAACAGTGTAGTCAAGAATAATCAATTATATCCCTCTTCTTCTTCCGGAATACAGATAGAAATACAAATAGACGATCTGACATAAATCTGATAAGGCATCATACTAGAACACTTGGAATCGATGGACTTTCAGTAGGATCTATTTTATTGACAAAATTACAGTTCTACTCAGGTACAATAGCAGTATGATTTGAGAGTAAAATGAAGATAATACATACTCTGCCCAGCATGAGACTCCCCTCCTGGCATCGCTCCAAACCCGCCGTCCAAGTTCTTACAGCTAACAATATATTCTACAGCCTTGTCCACATTAATTTTGTGCAGACGATGCAGTAATGACAAGGTGCATATGGAAATATAAGAGAACCTACAGGACATATATTACATTCATATTAGTAGCTCATACAGATGCTGCATTCAAATAAAACACATGGGAACTCAAAAAGAACAGTTACAGTTTTTACCTAGTATCAACTTCACCCCAAATATCACCAGAAAATGATCCATCCTCATTCTGAAGTCCAGTAATATCTGAAACAATTTAGATAGGAAAAGAATAGTGCCAGATTTCAAGCTCAGGGTGAGGCTACTTCAATTCATCCAGAAAACTATTTGCAGAAGCTTACAATGTTATCACTACTTCCCCATTTCATGATACAATTTAAGTCAAGCCGCAAGGCAATCAAATACCTAGAACTGGCTAATGCAGCAGATTAGTGTTCAAATACTGTGTCACAGCCACACAATATCGATCATCTATCAAGTACTATCTCATATGGTATTGTATTCTGGATGCAGCAGTAGACTAAAATTTTGACATGCTGCACTTAGTGTGGAAATTAGTGGATCATGGCTAGATGCTAAGCTGTGTGTTAACATAACTCCATAAAGCCATCCACATTTCAAGATGCAATGTTTTCTCATTCACCATTGAAAGGAAAGGTAATGTAAATGCAACACAATGTTTCAGCTTTCTTACTAGCAGTTCAGGGAAATGAAGCAGCCCCAAAACAAGATGAGATTGACTACAACCATTAGGACGTCGCTAACCTAACATTCACAAAACTACTACAGCAGGAGCAGCATGAAGCTCACTGAAGATCTGGAGAAGGATACAATCAGCAATTTTGTCTGCATCAAGAACATCGAGCCGATCGAAGAGGCAGAGGACCTGCACGGCGCTGAGCGTGTAGAGGACATGCGGGTCGTGCCCCACGTTCCCCCCGAACCCACCTGCACAGCCACATCCCAAGAAGACACACAAGTGAATCATTCAAGAACCGAGGATCCGAATCGACAAAACCAAGGCTTCCCCCTGCAGCCAAAGTACCAGATTCCGGGTGGTAGCACGACATGATCCAGTCGACGACCTCGGCGGCGTCCACGGCGTGAAGCTTGTGGAGGAGGTCGAGCGTGGTGAGGCCCCAGTAGGCCCCGCTGGCCCGGAGGTGCTCCATCACCAGCGACTCGAACGAGTCCTTCTTCTGCGGCAAACGGCGAGGAGGACGGTTGAGTTGTCGCCGGAGACGGTTCGCATCCGAGAGGGGGTATGCGTTGGGTGGGTGGTTGCTTACCTTCTCCGCGGTGACGATGTAGCGGACGTGCTTCTCCGCGGCCAGCTCCCCCTCTTCACCCATGGCTTCCTCCTCCTAGCTTCGCTTGGTTAGCGATGCTCCGTCGACGACTGATGTGCTCTTCTCCGCCGCGAGCGTGTTGGGATCAGGGGAATCAGGGAGGCCGAGCCGATGGGTTACTGGGCTAGCCGGGCCTGTGGTATGGATTGTTCGCCGAGATGGGCCTCGTGGATCCATGAGCATTTGGAAGCCCGCACCAAGCCTAACCAGGCCCACGGAGAAAGAAAACGGGATGTTTGCTTGGTGGAAACCACTAATTGCAAAGGTCACTGCAACCTCCTCACGTTGTGGCATATGCGCCACTTGTCACAACATGAGAGTTTCCTTTTTTCCATAGATCAGTTTATTTCTTTGCGGGAACATAAATCAGTTTATTCAAAACGTTTTATCTTTTAAACCGATGCGTTCAAATCTTGAATCATTTTCACCGTTGGATTCTTCACGTCAAGATCTTCAAATAGATCCCATGTTGATAAGTTTTGATAAAAAAAATCATGAAAAAACCGGAAGAAAAAACTGAACCAAAAACATGTTTTTTTCGAAAGAGGTACGTCCCTGCCTCTCGCGAAGCAAATCCTTGCCTCCACTAGAAACAGATATGTACATCCCGCGAAAAAAAGAAAATATGTTTTTTCCCGTTTTGGAGAGGCATGATCGTGACTCTCGTGAAAAAATGCGGGTTTTTTTCCGATTCCGAGAGCCACGGTCGTGCCTCTCGCGGAAGCAAATCTATGCCTCTCATGAAAGTAAAAAAAGAAAACACTTATTTTCCATTTCCGAGAGGCACGACCATGCCTCTCGTGGAAGGAAATTTGTGTCTCTCGCGGAAA